CCAACAATAGTAACAATACCTATTTACGACCAGACATATTAATATGATGAAAACAGACTTGCTGACGGTCGAGGGAGATCCCGGAGGCACTGTATTTCGTTTTTCCAATGTTCATCCTGACCAAATAGATAACAGCCAACGTATGATTACAGTAATTGGCCTTGTTAGTAACTATTTTGGAGAAGAACTCAATCAAGATGGATATTCAATTGTAACTTTAGTTCAAAGAGTTAGTAGAATATCAAATGACAGCAATGAACTTCAATTTAATCATTTGGACTTTATTACTATTCATAATACGTAATAGTGCACCACCTATCTAATTTATTTTATTTAGATTTAATTTTATAGTATATTTATAATTAAAAATATCTTTTCATCACATTAATATGTCTGGTCGTAAATAGGTATTGTTACTATTGTTGGGAGAGATTATCATGGTTATAGGCCTAATTTAGCTCCAATAGTAAACTAGGACAAGAATTTATTACCAATCAGGTAATATATGGCAATCAGTAGGGTGGCTTGTACACGGGAACCCTAATTTCCCCACCACTTGTGATTGGTTGTATGAAATCTGTCTCTAATTGAAAAAAAAACCTTTAAATATTTATCCTATTTTTCTTTTTTAAAAAAAACTTTCAAATATTTATCTTTACTTTTTTCTTAAAAAAAACAAACTTTCGATTTATTGCTATTTGTTCTTTAAAAACTTTTTTTTGAACTTTCGAAATATTTATCCTATTTTTTTCTTTAAATTTTCGAATTAATTATTTATTTATTTTTATTAAATCATTGCATATTCTAATTTTTATTTAAAAAACGAAGTGAATACATTTTATTTATGCATATTGCAAGTTGTTTTTTAAAAATAGAAATTACAAATCATATTGGCCGATTTGTTTTGACCCCAAAATCGGCCAATCATGATTGACTGTCATATATCTTTCTACATCTTTTTTAAATTTATTATCCAAATCTTTGTTCACACCCACGTAATTCAAAGTTCATTTTCGTATGCAGAATTCGATT